ATGAAGATTATACAGAAGAACGATGTATTGTAGATGAAGAAGAAAATGCTGTGCAATTGCCTATAGTTCATGTAAATATTAAGATTTTTGAGACTAGACTGTTTATATATATATATATTAGAGAGTTTTATAAGAAAGTACCTCTATATTTTTGAATTCTATCGATATTTCTTCAAAATTGGCATAATCTCTACCAAACCTTTCGACCTAATTTATTAAGACTGTTAAACAAGAAAACAGCAAAGAGGATACCATTTATCAAAATATTACCATTCTTGATGTACAAAGTTGCACAAAACTATGTTTTGACGTAGGTTTAAATGTCCATGTTGTGCCCATAACAACACTCTTACGCGCGATAGGAAGAATTGGAATTTCTCTTAATTTGCTTGAAACTGTTATATATTCGTCTAATATCGAATCATCTGGAAAATTATACAATTATTTGTAAATAAATATAGAAATTATTATATTTAAGATATTTCGAATATATAAATATACCAGGTGTGCTTAACATAAGATCGTTTTTTTCTTTATCAACTTTTTTGAAAGTAGCAATAAATTCATGTGTAAACATCAAGAAATCGTATTGCACACAAAGGTAGGTACCCAATCCAAAGGCTTGACAATATCTCTGCCTTTTTGCAACCTGAATAATATCAATACAAAATTATAATAAATAATACGATATAATCCTTGATATATAAACGATAATATGAAAATTTACCAGTTCTTCTAATTCAAATCCTTGATCTATGTACTGACGGAATAAATTGAAGCTAACTGGAACATAAAAACAATGTTCTCTATTGTCTCCAATACCTAGTGTAACTCTTTTTCCTGGTTTCAACAACCTATAATAATAAGCAATTAAAATTTAAAATAAAATAAAATAAAATAAATATCAAAAAAATAGTTTAACTTGAGTTCATCAAAATATACCTCCAAGTTTCATCGATAACTTTACTCATTTCTATTGCAAATTCTTTAGAATTTGCAAATCTTGATAAATCTCCGTCAATATGAGTTGAATATTCAACACTATTAAGGGGAAAAAAACATTAAAAAATATGATATATGAAGTTAATAATTAAATTTGGAACTAGCCATACCAGTTTTTATAAGGAGGATGACTTAAAACATGATCAAAAGATTCATCTTCAAAAATAGTTCCTGTTAAATGCCTGGAGTCTGCCTGAAGAATAATAGGCCGATGTTCGGCGGTGATACCTCGATCTGGTGGAATAGCGAATGAGCAATTACGCTGCGATAAGGCCACTGCTGCCTGAAAATAAAATAAATAAATAAATAAAAAATAAAATAAAATAAAATAAAATATTTTAAGTTTAATATCAAAATTTTGACTTGTTAAAAACAGTAAACCACTACCCCCACCAACGCCAACAGCTTTGATCGTAGTACCACATATTCCCAACAATGCTCTTAATTCACAAATGATTCCTTATTATCGTGCAGTAATAAAACGTTTAGCTCGTGAAGCATACGATCGTCTGCCTCCTTCTGGATTCCTCGTTATAGGCGGACAAGATGTTCGAACATCAGACAATAAATTATGGCCTCTTAGTATGCTTTTTATGGAAGATGTGAATAATTCAGTTGGAGAAGATAAAATGCCACTGAAGGAGCTTGTGATCACTGTACCAGATGGTTACGCGAAAGATAAGAAAAAGATTTGTTCACATGAAGATTATACAGAAGAACGATGTATTGTAGATGAAGAAGAAAATGCTGTGCAATTGCCTATAGTTCATGTAAATTTTTCATAATAATTATGCAATGTTACTTTAGCAACATTTTCCTAATTTTTTTTTTCTTTTAATCTATAGGCATGTTATCTTATATTTATGAAACTTAGATAATAATAGATCTAAATACATTTTCCTAGATAATTTTCTTTCTTGCTTAGGACGATGGTAATATGAGGAAAAAAAAAAAAAAAAGTTATAGACAAAAACAATGGTTTAGTATTTATCAGTAAAAAAAACAAAAAAAAAAAGTGGAAAAACATTTGCAAAATTATGTGGTCGTGGAATTGATTAATGATTTAAAAACTCTGCAAATTTTAAAAAACTCTGCAATAAAGGCAAACTAGACGAATTATTCTGTTTCTATAATTGATAACTTATTAAAATGCTATCAATACTAAATAATCATTATCGTTTATTAAAATTTTAACTAAAAAAAAAAAAAAAATTAATGATGTATATCGAATGGCGTTTGATCAGCACGTTTTTAGCAAACAATGTTAAACTGGTTTAAAGATTATGTTAAACTGGTTTAAAGATTATAACAAATCTACATGAACAAATTTACGGCTAAAATTAATTAATTGGTAATCAATAATCTTTACGGAAATTGATAAATTTAGACATTCATTTCATAAAACTGCTAAATTAATTAATTTATATTATATGCATTTCATTTAAATAGGAATGAAATATTAATTTCCTGAAAAGTATGAGAAGGAATTAAAAAAATAAAATTCTTGTTCAAGAAAAAGTCACATTAGTATTTTTTTTTAATACGTTTCGCTCATGAACTGCACGTACGCATTCTATAAGAATCCCAAATCAGAATATTTTTATCGGAATTTATAAAAAACAAATTACAACATCGGATTTTTTTTAATCCATTTTTATATAATTTATGATGTATTGCATATTTCCTTAAGATGAATTTAATCTAGCATAACGGTAAATAACTGATTGTGATAAGAATTTACAGTATACTGAATCTTCTCATTCGTTCCTCCAATTATTTTAAATGTTTGTATGACTTCCGTCTATTTCAAATGTTTTGTATAACTTGGTAGTTATTGAAGAAAATCTAAACAATAATCATTTATTAAAACTTAAATGATCTTTGTTTACATTTAACTAAATAACAAAGATCGATAAGATCACTTTAAATTACAGTAATTAATTAACAGCACACAAATTAGCTCATTTTTGTAATATATCAATATTAATGCGTCTTTTCCTGGAGAAAGATATCACAAATACTATATATCCACTTTTAAAATGAGGTACTTGTTTATTTCGAGACGATGATTTGATGTTGTATCTTGTTAAATAATGTTTAATCTTTTCTAGTGATACTTTGTTTAGGGTAAAAATGTTACCATGTGGCCAACCGAACATTATAAACGGTTTACTGCAAATTATTATCAATAAAATGAACGAAGAGAATAAAAGAAATGAAATGCATAATGTACAGATGTAATGAATGTTGGTGTGTTCACCGTTTATGGATACAAGTAATCTAATATCGGCATTAAATTTGACAAAATATGCAAATTCTGCGGATATTGACGAACAATTATTTGTTTTACGAAACAAACCGACAATATCAAAGGATCATGAATAAAAAAAAAAAACCCCCCCGTATTCACCATGTTAAAGTATATTAAAAATAAAATGGATTGTTATTATTATTTTTTATTATTTTTCTTGTTTTAAAAGTTTGCGAAATTAATTAAAAAATTCTTTTATATCTTGGCATTGTTAAATAACCCATCAAAGAATTTTGAAACCCTTGCAGTAAATATTGACGCGAGTAAAATTTAATATGTAACAAACTTTTTCTTCATTAATGAATGGTTGCTAAGCAAACTGTCGTGATCAGTAATTCCCAAATAATAGTACTTGTCAGAAGAATTGCATTATTACTTAAATAATTTTAGTTTTTTTTCATTATTTCATTTCATTTCATTCATTTTTATTTTTATTTTTTACTTTTAACATTCTTTTAGTTTTTTTTTATTGTTTTGACCATGGGCAATCCTCAATCGAAAAATTCTACTTGTTCAGCGATAAAACCATCTACAGCATCTTATCGTTATGTTGATGGTCGTAGATTTCAAAATATCGAAAATTCAAGATATCTAATGCCAGATGATGACGAAGAACTTGATCGATTACAACGTCAACATTTTTTATTTCGATATCTTTGGGAATCAAATTTTTCGGCTCCAGCTGATGAAATACTACGAGAAAATAAATGTGAAGTTCTAGATGTCGGGTGTGTTTTTTTTTTTCTTCTCTTTTTTAAAAAAGTAAGAAAAAAAAAAAACAACTATGTTAATGCTTTTTTTTTTCTTCTTTAATTCAGTTGTGGGCCTGGAGCATGGCTAATGGAATTAGCTCATGATTATCCTCGCTCAAACTTTACTGGAATTGATTTAGTAGCAGCATTTCCATCTCAGGTATTTTATAAATTTCTTTAATATTTGTAAAAAAAAAAAAAAAAGCAAAGTTTAATTAAATTGCTTTCTATAGATAAAACCACCAAATACCACATTTATTCAAGGAAATGTTCTTAACGGTTTACAATTTCCCGATAATTACTTTGATTTTGTGCATATGAGGCTTTTAGTTAGTTCTTTTTCAGAAAGTGAATGGGAAACTGTTATAACTGAATTAGTTCGAGTAACGAAACCTAACGGCTGGATAGAATTGTAAGAAATCACGTGTTTGTTATCATTATGTTTTATCATGTTTTTTTTTTTTTCTTTAGTTTCTTATTTTATATTGGTGACATAACAAACATCAGATGCGAAACAGATTTTCGATGGTTTAATGATGGCCCAATGTCAAAACAATTAACCATGGCTTGTAAATATTTATTACCATTTTTACTGTGTTTAGATTATCAAATTGTGTAATCCCAATATAATTTATTTTTTATTTTTTTAGTACGCCAAATGATTGAATCAAGAGGTGCACTTGGTATAGTAACACCTTTGATTCACAATATAATGAAGAATCATCCTTCTCTAACCAATCTTCAAGATGAATACAAAGAATTACCTTTTGGAAGCTGGGCTGGAAGGTTGATTTTTTTTTCGTTTGTTTCACGAATTTATTCAAATTTTAAGTTATATGTTAATTATTTATCGTTATTACCAGATTAGGGGAAATTGCTAATGAAGAATTTTTGGTACGTACTTAGTAGTATATGACACTATTTATTTCCACAAAATAAATTGACAAATATTTATTTGATAAATTTTATTATTATAGGTTGGAGCATTAAATGGACTTTCCACGGAATTATCTCCAATTATGAATGTTAGTAATGAAGAATATACTAATATTCTAAAATCTCTTGGCGATGAAATGACCAAATATAAAGCATTCTCTCGAAATCACAGAATTTACGCGCGCAAATTTTAATTTAAAGTCATTTAAATTTAATTATTTTTTGCTAACTTAGCCATTCCTTATTTATTCGGTATTCAACTCTTGAACCGATTTTATTGTTATGTCATTCCCAGAATATAAATAACTGATAAAATAGTAAAAAAAGAAACATTATTACAAAAAAAATTTTCGTCACATTGGGAATATAACCTAAGATATTCTTTATACGGAAAAGAAACATCTGTTACTTCTTTTTAGAATATTAACAGATGATTTATTTAAGAACTTTATTATTTAATTGATAAAGACATTTAATGCTCCAACCTATAATAATAAAATTTATCAAATAAATATTTGTCAATTTATTTTGTGGAAATAAATA